ACCTTTGGCACGTGGCTCACCAGGGTAAGCACCCTGGCGGGCTGGGCCGGTTTGTTTACCTGCCGTGTCTGCAGGTTTGGCCAATCGCGGCTCCCACTGGCTGCGGTTCACTGCTCCAGGCCAATGAGGGCTGCGGGAAGTGGCGCGGGCTGAGGGATGTGCTGGCTGCAGCTTCCCGCAGCCCCCATTGGCCTGGAGTGGTGAACCGTGGCCAGTGGGAGCTGCGATCGGCCGAACCTGCGGATGCAGCAGGTAAACAAAGTGGCCCGGCCCGCCAGGGTGCTTATCCAGGCGGGCCGCGTGCCAAAGGTTGCCGATCCCTGATATAAAATGACTGTATGAGTTCATGATATCTGCGAAAAGTAAACAACCCCTTAAAAATATAGACTTAAACTCAATGGAATGGAACTATTATTTCTTTGATTGATTGCCCCTATGTGTAGTACACTTTTTTGTTCCTTCAGGTTGTGCGTGCACTGAGGGCTGGGGATGTTTCTCTAGCAGTGTCCATATGGACTGTGCATGCACCACAGCTCTCGTTGTGCTCTTGATCAAGGGAATAAAGGGGGTTGCCAGACCACCACCATCTTAATTCCTTTTTACCACTTGTGCTCTAGGATGGAGCTTCAGTGTTTGTGCTGACTACTTCAGCTTTTTCCTGTTCAAAATACTTTTAAAATTCTTTGTAGCTAGTTTTCTTAATTTAGTTAATTAGGAGATAGTCTAAGGGTTGGTTCCCTTGGGAATCCCCCTTTGGGGTGAGGAGCCATTTTCCATATCTGCCCTGCCCCAACCTTCCAACAGTTGTGGGAAGTATGCCAAGGATCTTCAGCTTTAGGAGCTACGATATGTGCTACAAGTCAATCCCAGTCACAGACTATCCCAACACTTGTCTGTACTGTCTGGGGGAAGAGCACATCCCTTCCAGGTGCAGTATCTGTAGGTGGTTCATGAGTAGGACTAAACAGTCTAGGAAGTTTTGGTGCTGCAGGTTCCTGATGGAGCAAGCCATGAAGGCGGGAGCAACCTCTTAGTGGGGAGACCCCCTATATTACTGTCTGAAGAAGGCAGGAGTGGCCCCTCTTCTTCTTCTTCAGTTCTGAGTCGTTCCAAGATCTCTGCTTCCCCACCCCCACTTCCCTGGCTCTGAGACACTCTGGAGAGCAGGGCCAGGGCAGATGGGGGGTGGGGGGGATGGGATGGGGAAGGGAGACATAAGTGCTCTCATAAGGACAAGAGGGAAGGTTCCCCATCCACGTCCTCTAAAAAGAGGCAGAAGTCCCTGTCCCATACCAAGTCATTGGATGCTTTGTGTTCCAGAGCGGGACTTCTTCTAAGGGCAAACCCGCAGCATTCACTGGTACCGGGGCTGCTTCTTCAGCACCAAAACCCTTCTTGGTACTGTTGGATAGGGCATCCTCTTTGGAAATCTGAGCGGTGGAGACATCTCTATCAACTCCAGTTTGCCTCCTGGATCTAGAAGACCTTCTACTGCTCCTGGAACCAGAATCACCGCACCCTCTCTAGGCTTTAATGGCTGGAACCAGGACTCTAGCCAGTACCAGTTATCAGTTCAGTACACTTTTCCATCCCTGCCCTTATGCAGGGGTTGAGCTAGACTGTCTTTGGTACTGTTAGCGAATAGAGGCAGGCCATCTCTGCCTCCTCTGGTACTGAAGGCTCCCCTATTGGATCCAGGATCAGAAACTTTGGAATTGGAAGAGGACTACGATAGACACCCTGCCCAGATAGGCTCCTTGAGAGGATTCAGCCCAGACAGAGTATCAGGAGTGTCGAGCACATCTTACTATTCTCATTCTAGAGAACAACCCCCCTACAGCCACTGGTACCCAATACCCTGGGAGCTGGTTCTGAGCAGTTAGATCCCACAATAGCAGTATTGTGTCCTGGAAGACTCGCAAGACCTCTGTCCAATATATCAACCCCATGATACTGAAGACCTGAGGGACTCTAGGGTTTCCAGAGTAGAGTAGTTTTCAGAGTAGCAGCCGTGTTAGTCTGTATCTGCAAAAAGAACAGGAGTACTTGTGGCACCTTAGAGACTAACAAATTTATTAGAGCATAAGCTATATTATTTATTAGAGCATAAGCATATTAGCTTATGCTCTAATAAATTTGTTAGTCTCTAAAGTGCCACAAGTACTCCTGTTCTTTTTGCAGAGTAGAGTAGGATCTTTATCAACCTCTTCAAGAGCCACAACTCCAGCAGCATGAGGAAGAGGAGTGAGGGGAGAGAATCTTTCTGTGACTTTGTCCTCTTCTCGCTCTGATGACGTGGTGATTCTAACTTCCCCGCTGCACCATGACTATCCCAAAGCCTTTCAGGACTTAATTAACAGAACGGCAGTCACTTCAGATTCCTCTGGAAGAGGTCCAGGAAGCATAACACAAACTGCTGGACATTTTACATAGTTTAGGTCCAAGCAGAATGGCTCTTCCTATAAACAAGGCCATCCTTGAACCTGCCAAGGCCCTCAGACACACAGTGGCCATAAGTCCGTCAGTGTCCAAGCAGGCTGGAAAAAGGTATTTTGTACCAATGAATGGGTTAGAATACTTATTCTTTCATCCATCTCCCAACTCCTTGATGGTGTCAGTGGCCACCAAGAATACTAGACAGAAACAATCTAGGTCTAATCTGCATGAGAAAGAAGCTAAGAGGCCTGACCCCTTTGGGAGAAGGGAATATTCCTCAGCCTGCCTACAATTCTGAGTTTCCAACTACCAAACTCTAATGGCGAATTATGATTTCACCATCTGTGCCAGCTTCGCTGTTGAGATTCCTCAGGATGTTAAAGACCAATTCCAGGCCCTGATTGATGAAGGTAGGTTGGTAACAAGATCGGCACTTCAGAGTGCCCTATGTGGCTGACACACTGTCAAGATAAATTGCGACTGCTGTGGTGATGAGATGCGTGTCATGGCTCTTCTTGGGAATCCCAGAGGAGGTTCAGACACATAGAAAGGGTGCCAAAATCAACCACTGTTCATGTCCGAACCTCTGCTACCCTTGAAACCAGTGTTTGATGGGACTTTTTGAGAGCTGTGCACCAACTGTCCCTCTAGATCTACACAACCGCTCTGCTTTTCCCCCTCCCTCTGGAGGCTGACTTTCCTACTACTTATCTGACTGGACAGAAATCACAGTGGACAAATGGGTGCTAGAGGTCATCTCCTCAGGGTACATCATCCAGTTCTTTTCCCTGCCCAACCTCGTCCACCTTCCCACCCTCTTCAGGGACCCCTCTCACCAGAGGATTCTTCTGCATGAGGGAAAATGGCTCTTGGAACTGGAGGCAATAGAACTAGTACCTCCAGCAGCAAGGGGAAAGGAATTCTACTCAAGGTATTTTCTTGTCCACAAGAAAACAGAGGATGGAGACCCATTCTGGACCTCAGGGAACTGAACAAGTTTATCCACTGTGTAAAGTTCAGGATGGTGACCCTGTCATCTATTATCCCATCACTAGATCTAGACAATTGATTCACAGCCCTCAGTCTCAAAGATGCCTACTTTTATATAGGCATTCAGCTGGCACACAGGAAATTCCTGAGATTTATGGCCAGACAACAGCACTATCCATACAGGGTCCTCACCTTTGGGCTTTTGATGGCAGTGTGCATGTTTACTAAGGTATTATTGGTGGTAGCAGCTCACTTTCACTGGCAACAGGCAATGGTTTACTCATACCTAGATGACTGACACCTAAAGTGCAATCTTACCAGGAAACATGGGATGCAACCAGAATGCTGTACCTCAGAGTGAACCTGGAAAAGTCCACCCTGGAACTTTTACAGTCGATAGAATTCATTGGGGCAAGGTTGGGTGCTATTACAGCATACTTGCCAGATGACTTCTTCCTCTCTATCATCAGGCTCGTACGAATCTTTTGAGCTCCAGAATGTCTGTCCGATCCTGCCTGACACTGGTGGGTCATATGGCCGTGAGCACTTATGTGACTCCATTTATGAGGCTTCATTTCAGATGTTTACAAGGCTGGCTATAGTCTGTTTACACGCCAAGCAAGTACAGTCTTGACTTGCTTGATATGATTCCCAAAGGGTCTTAGCCTCCCTTACTTCATGGGAGGACAGAGCAAGGGTGTGCGTAATGCAGGTAGCATTCAACCTACTGCTCCCAACAAGGCCAGTAACAACTGCTGCATCCTGTTTAGGTTGGAGGTGCACCGCTGGAGGGTCAGGTTGCCCAAAGAACATGGTCCCCTCAGGGGTCTATGCTTCATTTCAGTGTGTTGGAGCTAACAGCAGTCAGATTGGCCTGCAAACAATTCCTTTCTTGCATCTGCAGATAGTCAGTCCAAATACAGTTGGATAACATTATGGCAGGCTGTTATATCAATGAGCACACTCCTCTCAGCCATTGCCCTTTGGGACTGGTGTATTCCCATGCAGATTACCCTAACTGCTGTCCACCTCCCAGTGATCCGTAACACCTGGCAGATTGAGTAGACGTTTCTCCACCGAACTTGAGCGGGAACTGCATGATGTGACTCTGTAGGTGGTGGTCCAGGTGTGGGGTCTTCTATCCATGGACCTGTTTGTGTCCCATCTAAATCATAAGTGCAAAGAGTTCTGTTCCAGAGATGGTTGCAGCCTGGGCTCTCTGGGTGACATGTTTCTTATACAATGTTTGGGAGTCTTGTGGTACACATTCCCCCATTCCTGTCTTACCTCGATTGTTGACCAGACAAAACGCAAGTCATCCTTATAGTGCCAGCTTGAGCCTGACAAGTCTTGTACCCAATGCTTCTGCAACTATCAGCCTGTCCTTCTCTCTACCTTCCCCTGATATATCAGCTACTAACCCAGGACAAAGGATGGACTAGCCTTCTCAACCCAGTCATGCTTCATTTGAGGACATAGTATTTGGAAGCTGTTGGAGTTAGAGAGGGCCTTTTCATCCTAAGTCCAGGACATCCCCTGAGTAGCTTTTGTATCTCTACCAGGAGATGCTATAAAGTGAAGTGGAATAGGTTTATGTTGTTGTGTAAACAACAAGGAATTTCCCCTTTACAGGCTAAGACCCCAGACATACTGGGCTACCTCTTGTCCTTACAATACTCGGAGGAAGCTAATAGGCAACACCAAGTACACCTGTTAGCCATCAGCATGTTTCATTTTCCAATAGATGTCTACTCTGTATTTTCCCACCCAGTCACTGCCCATGTCCTGAAGGGTTTAAGACTTCCCTCTGGTATCAAAATTGGTACCATCCCGGGACTTGAACCTTATTTTATCAACCCTCACTGCCTCATTCCTGAGGCAGTTCCAAGCATTTAATAATTGTTTGGTTTTTTTATATTAGTCCAACTCAGAAAACCTGTGGTGAAAGATTAATAACAGAAGTGTTTCTATCACTCAGAACACCATGAGCTTATACTGAACGCTTTTGGGGGTCTAATCTCCTTGGCCCTACTAGAACAGTGGTTCTCAAATTTTTGTACTCGTGACCCCTTTCACATAGCAAACCTCTGAATGCGACCCCTCCCTATAAATTAAAAACACTTTTTAAAATATATTTAACACCATTATAAATGCTGGAGGCAAAGCAGAGTTTGGGGTGGAGGCTGACAGCTTGCAACTCCCCATGTAATTACCTTGCGACCAGTTTGAGAACCCCTGTGCTAGAACGATATTTTCCTTTGTGAAGCCCCAGTCCACCAGAGCACTTAAGAATGTGCTTAATTTTAAGCACTATGAGTAATCCTGCCAAGTCTGATCAGACTCTGTATACTTGAGATGAGCACTTTCCAAGTTTGTTTGGAATATTCTGAAATAGTCTCTGTGCATGTAGAATAGATCTTTAAGGGGGGAGGGATAGCTAAAGGGGGGGTAAAAATCTGTCTGGGAATTGGTCCTGCTTTGAGCAGGGGATTGGACTAGATGACCTCCTGAGGTCCCTTCCAACCCTGATATTCTATGATTCTATATTCTGTGATTCTAAGTATACCTCGAAGATGTTATAGCTGACATTTCATACTCTGATTTTTTTTGTCATTTAGGAATACTTGATTCTTCAGAAAACCTCTAAGGTAGATGTGGACTCAAGCGGAAAGAAATGCAAAGAGAAAATGATTAGTGTACTGTGTGAAACAAAAGTACAGACAGAGCATAAAAGGTATAATTTAGTATTATTGCAGATAGAAAAGCAACCGAACTGATAATTACATTCTGACAAATCTAGGCATATTCATGTGTTTTCTTGTACAATTTAGGTTTCAGGCATTTGAAGTCAAAGAATATTCAACTTTGGATGAGCTACAAAAGGAATTTGAAGCTGCAGGACTTACTGATCTTTTCTCTGAATTTGTGCCTGCTTTGTTAAAATAAATCTGTAAGAAAACATTGGAATCTTTGACTATAGCAGCAGTTGACTGTAAAAAGTGAGAAGATAAAATGAAATGTTTGTTGGGGAACATCTTTAAAGCCGCTCTGAAGCAAAATGCCAAAGAAGAAGACATCTACTTGCAAGAAACAAAAGGCAATTCACATGTTATGAAAAGATCATCTTTTTGACTGTGCATTGACTTTTGAAAGGAAATGCTGAGTTTAACAGTTAACAGTATGAAGGATGGTGGGGAAAAATCACCATTCCTTTTCTCTGAGGTTCAGTTAGAATTGTATCATCTCCAGTTGTCCTGTAATTAAAGTATATTTGTTAAGATATTTGGTTTCATTCTTCTGTTTTCAAATATATCCTTATGAAGCTGGTTCTTTAACTTGCACAGCTAGAAAGATCTATTACTCTTGCTATTCAATAACTTTATAAAAATCAGCAATAATATGAATATGCATTATAATTAATAAACATGGTTTAAAAATAAAAGCTTAGAATAATTAAAGATAAATACATTTTTGAACCCCCTATAACTTGCCATCCTGAATCCGCTGCTATGTATCTCCTCCATTTGTGTTACTCCATTAAACATTTTACAATTGATTTAAATAGTAAGGGTTAAGATTCCAATTGTAAAAGTATCAGGATGGAAAAAGCAAGATTGAAACTGGTTTATGAATTTTTTGCTTTGATGCTGCACTAGGATGATTGTATCAGGGGGGTTTTCCCCTTAATGGCTGGAGGGCTGAGGCTAGCCAAACCTGATTATCGAATGAGCCACACCTGGGAGAGATTAGGGTGATTGCTCTATAAAGAGCAGCAGGAGGCTGCAATGTAGGGGGCATAAGGGAGGTGGCTGGCCCAGTTACAATCATGTGAGCTCAGTGCCTCTGCTGGCAATAAGGCTAGAAATTATGAAATTACTTGTAAAACTCTTTTCAAAGAGTTGTATAGTTTTATGAGGTGAGAAGTTAAATGAACTCTAATTGTTGGACTGTGCAGACCTTTGGGCAGTTAGGGCCTGACCCTACAAACCAGTTAAGATTGTGTGGACATAAGTGTCCATACTGGCTTATTTATTTGCAGGATAAAGGCATAAAATATTTTCCAAGTACCATTTGAATTTAGGGCATACTATTTTAATAACTCTCATGGTCCAGAATGTATAAAAAGTCTCAAGTTGGGAATTTAAGTTGACTGGAAAGGTGAAGCCATGTTTAATATTTTCTTTAAGGCATGATGACTCTAGATGGTCACTGCAACAAGAAATTGGTATGCACTGTTACATGCTTTCTTAGACATCAAACATCTTTCCAATTGTGACCATGAATTTCAAAAGTCTAACACACTTTTAATTTGAAATGAACATTCTAAAGAGGACGTTAACATAAAGGCCTAGACAGATAATTGTTTACCTCTTTGGAAATGAATAATAGTTTTGAAGGAAATTATTTAAATTTGTTTGTTAATATTCTTCCAGGGTGTTCAGTATTACAGGAGGAAAGGAGGAAACTTAGAAACTTACTGAAATTGCATGACTTTTCAGCTATTAATGAACAAGAAATTTAAACATTTCTGGTCTGATGAGTCTAGAAATTCAAGTTTACTACCTAAATGGGCAAGGAGCTCACCTGCTTGTTTAAGCAAGAGATAATGAGAATCAGGCCCAGAATGTTCATCTCTTGCTTTAAATATTTCTATACAAGCAGTTTATCTCTTTGCCCATTTAGGTAGTATACTTAAATTTCTAGACTCACTTGTTGGACAAGAAATATATACAATTCTAGTTTGTGAATAAACCCCCTTTCACAATTTCTCTAACTCAAGCATCTCTTCACAACACTTAATTGTTAGCAGAGAAAATATTTTTCACCAGCTTATGTTTTACTTCACCGTAATCTCAATAGATTCTTAATGACCTTTACAAACCCACTTGTGTAACTTCTATTTGTTTTTGTAATAATACTTAGCTCTTCTCAAGTTCAGAATGCTTTATAATCAATATCTATTTAACCTTGCAGCACCCCCTTGACAGAGGTAAGTAAAATCATCCATTGCATACATTTGGAAGAGCTGGGTCTCACAATACCCAACAATGGCATTTCATTTGATTCTAGGTCTGATAGTTATTCAAACATGCAGTCTATAATGCTTGCTCACCAGCAACCAAATCCCTTCAGATATTTCTTGTTTGCTTTATGGACTCACTCAAACCATTTTAAGTCATCTTGTCTCCTTTCTAAAGATGGAGAAGCTGATCTATTGAGGTTAAAAGAATTCCCAAAGCCCTAGAAGGAGTCATTATCAGAGGGGACCCAACCATGTTCAGTGTTAGATCACACCTCTGCCTTTAGGTGTGTTCCAAAAGCCAGTGTTTTAATGTTTGAGATTTCAAATGCATAATGGGATGGGATGTGACGTGACTTTTTTTTTTTTGGAGTTCATCAGGCTTTAATGAGTTGTTAGGCAATTTTTATTTAAAAACATTTTTATTTGATAGCAAAATCTCTTAACAAGCCTTTCACTGTGTAGTATTTCCAGTATTTCATGCATCAGAAAGCAAAATCTGACCTAAACAGGTTTTAAAAAACATTTTTCATCTCTTATTTTAAAATGACTTCTTAGGAAAGAGGAAATCCAACTTTATAGCATGGCTACTGTAAGTGTAAATGAGTCTCTGAATTTCTACCTTTGTGATACAGAATAACAATAAAACACAAGAGCCTAAAAATGTTAAAATAAAAATTGGGTTTATTGTACACGATTGCATTAGCTAGTCCCAATTTAAAAACCAAATAACATGTTGGTGGAATAGGAGACCTTCAGTAGATATGAGTAGTCAAATGAGCCACTGTCCAAAGTCAGAAACTCAGAATACCAAAAGACTAATGGAAATTCATGGTGGTAAAGTGAAGTGTTGTTCACTTTTATCTTCACCAGTGCCTTGAGCAACATTAGCAATAGAAGCTTTGCAATAAAATTACCTCAGTCTGCAAAATTATATGCTGTAAACTACACTGGGCAAAATCTTAGCTCCCCAGTCTGAAAAGTTAGCACGGAAAAATGAATAAGCGGATGAGTCCAGTGTAACATCAAAATCTGTATCAAAATCTTAGCCAGTGAAACCTTATTTAGGGCCTAATTCAACACCCATTAAAATAATTGGAAATGGATCAGGTCCCTGCTGATTAGGAGTAGCTCTCCTCAGACTTGCATATGATCAGAAAAGTGGCTGGAGTTCTTTTGCACAAAGGATGTGGTGCTCATTCTAGCAAGGCTGGATGCAGACTCCCTGAAAGTCTGATCTTTCTCACATTGAGCGCTAATAACTGTGTAAAGAAAGCCATTTGCAATGCACAACTGACACAGAAGCCCATGTGTGGTTCACTGCTGTGTGTTTGCAACTTGTCAGGCCTGACATACTCATTACATCAAATACTGGTGTCATGATATTTATTTAAAAGGTGACCTGTAATATATCATTTATAACACACTTGTCACTAATGACACTATGAAATGTTTGTAACGACTCGGTAGGTGAAATTATGGATACTCTCTGATAGTATGTCCTGGAGAGTGTAAACATACAAAGGTGACAAAACAGGTTTCTTCTGTTTAAAGAGAAAAGAAAATATGGTGCCAGATGCATGTTCACGAAAGAGGGCTCTGACCTGCTGTCTCCAAGTAAAGCCAGTGGCTAACCTTCTTGCATCTTTGCAAGGCGGGAGACATGACGCTAAGAGCATCCCAGTGCCAGAAGGCAAGGAGCTCACTGGTATCAGGTAATGAGATTCAGCTGGCCTGATCAGTTCAGTGTAGCCCAAAACACTATGGTTATAATCTGTAACTAAAAGGTGTCATGTCCCCCCACAGATTTGTTTGCTTCCCAGCAGAAAATGATAGGGAAGTAAAGGGAAGCCGCAAGAGCGGTCACACACCCCTCCCCAGAAGCGCGGATGCCTCATTTCCAGTGCCTGGAGCAGCTGGTGGAGAGGTAAATCACCGCAGGGGGAGGGAGATGGGGCTGGGGCATGCTGCTGCCCCCCCATTTCTGCAAACGCAGAGCTGCCTGGCAGCTCAGTCTTGTTGACTCTGCAGCTGGACACCACCTCCTGGGTCCTAGTTTTGTTTGTCTTCCCTGGCTCTGTGTGCTGGGTGCCATGTTTTCTGTACAACAGTGAGTGTCTGCGATGGGCAGGGTAAGAGGAGTGGAGCAAAGGAGGTGAGGTGTGGGGAGTGGAGTGGGATAGGGCAGGGGGAGAGGGATAGGGGACAGTGGGGAGACGGGAAGGGACAGTAGGGAAGGGGGATGGAATGGGGAAAAGAAGGGGATAGGAGAATGGGGGGGGGGAGCAAGAGCCCAGCATGTGCGCTTTCCCCAGCAGCAGCTGGGGCTCCCCCATTAAACAGGCCAATCGAACCCCCACTCCAATGAGCCCCCGCCCTGCACCTGGACCACCCTGACAAGCAGGCCTGGCCCTTGTGCTGTGTCAGGGTCGGGGGGGTACTCTCCCACCTCCCTCCAGCCAGTGGCCTGCACTCCCCATTGCCATGCTGGATCCTCCACATTTATTTATTGTCGAATAAAATTTGCAGAATTTTAAAATAATTGTGTGCAGAATTTTTTTGTGTGGAACAGAATTTTAAATTTTTTGGCACAGAATTCCCTCAGGAGTACATCTGATAGTTCTGTGGAAGTTCCTAACTGAGGGAAAGTAAGCCGTGGCTGGCAAAAAGGAAGACTGGTGACAGAAACCATCTTGAACAAAGCATCTACCTTGCTGGAAAAGTATCAGAGGGGTGGCCGTGTTAGTCTGAATCTGTAAAAAGCAACAGAGGGTCCTGTGGCACCTTTAAGACTAACAGAAGTATTGGGAGCATAAGCTTTCGTGGGTAAGAACCTCACTTCTTGCATCTGAAGAAGTGAGGTTCTTACCCACAAAAGCTTAGGCTTCCAATACTTCTGTTAGTCTTAAAGGTGCCACAGGACCCT